GTTATAGATTTAATAAAAATACGATTAATAAAACAATGAAAATAATTATTTAAAAATGTTTTATAATATTTTTATCCTGTTTTTCGACAGCAGCCTGAACACATCCATCCGGCGGCCGGCTCGGTCCGGTCCACTAGCGCCTTACCAGATGAGGGCCGGTCCGAGTACCGGGTACAGTAGACCCAGGCGGGCCACAGCAGCGGCTGCGACTCCTTGGTGATCGGCGGAGGGGTTCCGGTGCCGCCGTTCAGAACCACGATGGACGACGGGCTGTCCGAGTACCGGCTCGCGGCTTCGCCCTGCTTCGCCGAGCTCTGCTGCGACTTCGGCGACGACGCGGCGGAAGACGAGGAGGGCGACGACGCGGCGCTGTCGCTGCTGGAGTCCAGGCACAGGCCGCCGGCGGGCAGGCTCTGGCTGCGGCAGCTCGGCTCCCGCCTGCAGCCGAAGTCCGGCCGCAGGATGTTGTCGATGAAAAAGTTCGTGGTTCTGTGGGCCTGCTGGGCGGCCTGGTGGTGGGGCAGGATCAGGGCCGGGGACGGGAGGTTCGGCGACAGCGACGCGCCGCTCTCGTCTTCCGTCGGCTCCTTGTGCTCTTCCATCGCTGCTGATGGGGAGGAGAAGTGTCCACTTGTTGCCGGTGCTCTCCCTCCCCTCTTCCTGGTCCGGTTCAGTCGGACAGCATGCAAACCGAGCCCGTTGGTTCGGATAAAAGCCCGCGTTCATCGACGCCTCTCACTGCGGCGACATGTCTCCGAACAGGCGAGCGGCGTCGCCTTTCCGAGCTCCACAGAAAACAACCGACACTCTCCGCTGCAGCCTCCGCGAACTCCCCTAAAACCCCCTCATTCACCCGCCTCTCCTCGTGCGCTTTCATCCAGCTGGAAAGCACGTGCGCGCGTGCGCCGCGGGCCAATCACACGCGGAGATCGTCCCTGTCACAATTAAAGGCGTCCAATCAGAGCGCGAGATCAATAAGGAGGCAGAGCTTGAAGCCAGAAAACAACAAAAATAAGGATTATTTTAGCCACATATCAGCTAAAGGTAGCTTACTAT